ATATTGTATATTTATATAATATAAGTTATATAATTAATATATAATATTTTTTTTATGTATTAATATTAGGGATGTCAAACTGGCTCGTCGTTCGCGAAACAACTCGTGTTCGGTTCGTTCGTTAAGAAACGAACCCGAGCTTATTTCAAACAAACTAAATTTTAAACGAACCGAACACGAACACAAGCTTTGTTCGTTCGTGTTCGGTTCGTTTACACCCCTATACATATAGGATAGTCTTGGTATTTTATATATATAAGGCTATCATTCGACTGTTCTTTGGCTTGGTTGGTTCAGTTTAATTTTCTAAGGACTGACTCTATCGGCTGAGCTTGATTAGTTTCAGGTCGGTAGGACGACTCGGTCAGCCAAGCTCGATATGTTTTGGGTCTGTAGGATTGGCTCGATCGGCGTTGTTAATCGAATGATCTAGTATGACTATCAACTGTTGATAATAGATAGAGGAATTTCTGGACATCCTCGGTATGATTAGATGTGTCGTGGGACTTAGTCTTCTCTCAAGCCAGTTTCTTCGTGATGGTTGGCTTAGATGTCTCTTTATCTTGTTTCTAGCCGAACAGTTTGGAATAAGATCATCCGTCATTTTTTTGCCCTCGTGGCTCGGTCGGCTTTGCCTTGCTCGCTTTGGCTCGAATGACTGCACTTGGTCCGTTAAGTGGGCCTTATGCTCTATGCCGGTGGGCTCTCCATTGTCGTACTTTTCTCTTTTGGACCGTTAGATCGCCTCAGGATTAACGCTGACACATTTTTGATGTACACATATGTACCACACAATGCTTATGTATTTACATATTTAACATCTAAATTTTAATAGTTACTTACATAACACTCCAATCTTTAATATTACATCAAAAATATTACTAAGGTTTATTTTTCAGAGGATCTATATACATACATCAAAATTCTTGTGTATTTGTGTGTTTAACACCAAAATTTTGATGTTTATTTTTATAGCACTTTTGAGTCCTAATCACATCATGACGTACATTAAAAATGTGTATTTCAACTTTAAAATGTTATTATTAATGATATTTTTGATATGATATTAAACATTTAGATGCTGTATAACGTAACATAAAAGCTTAGTGGTAAATACTTCAATTCGTAAGCATTGGGGTTGTGTATGTAATTCCCCCTAATTTTTCCATAATAAAACACACCTTTGCATTCACGTAGTTGTATAAAAAAATTTATATATTTTTCCGTTAGAATTATTTGGTATGTATGTAAATATCACTGAAATGTTTTCTTGTTACTTTTTTCTCAGCATGCAATATTAAGTGGCTTGGGCTGCGCCGAGATGACCTCCAGATGTTACCTCAGCCAGCATTTATAAAGCTGAAGCCACGTGATCTGCAAATAGCTAAAAGCTTAATGTCATCAGCAATGTTACAGGTACACTTTTGCTGTCTTGTAGGCTTACACCCTGTCTTTCTCCTTCATCTGAAAGCTCAGCACTCTATTTATACCAAGTCTTGGTTTGATCTTATATAACCTCTGTTTAGGCACACACACCTTATAGACTCGGGGATTTACATACATTTCACTCAATTTTTATTTATTTTTTGATCTAAAAACCTGGACTTTACATTTCTACAGCTCAAATCTTTCATCACATAAAGGATACCACTATTTTAATTTTTAAATAGTGAAATATACCTTTCCGTGCATAAAAATTGAAGTTTAGGTCAAGATAAATCTTCCATTAACTTATTTTAGGCACTTGTGCACTGGCTCCTCTAGAAATTTATATTCAGGGACACACACACACATGCATATACTTAAATATTCATTATATAACATTTAAATCTTTTAGTCACATCAAAATATCATTAATTTTAACTTTTTTAAAATGTAATACATTTTTTCATGTTTTTGGTGCGATTGAGACATTAGTGATGTAAGTCTCAAAATTTAAATTTTAAGACCTATAAATACATAACAATTTTATGGTATATATGCGTTTTTTTTCTTTTTTTTGGAATTTTCTTATATACCACACATTTCTAAAGTACTTGCATATCTAACGCCAAACTTTGATATTTACTCATGTAACACTCATAGCTTTACATCACATATATAATATCACTAATATTAAATTTTTTAAAAGTTCAATGTACGTTCTCATTGTCACTATCTGGCCTGGGACGGTCACATGGTGGGAGCTAAGTTTTCTATATTCATTCTTTTTAAGTTTATTTTACAAATGAAAGAGACACTAAATAAAATTAAATTAAGACATTATAATTAAAATTACCTCATTACAGGTTGTCCACGCCTTCAGTAGGTCGACAACTAAAAAATGATCAACTCTTTAGGCCCATTTTTCGGGAAAAATGAAAGTCAAACGAGAAACTAAGAAACACTATTACCTGTGAAACTCTCTTTGTTCCTCAGTGGCCGCAATGATATTGAGTTTTTCTCGTTCATCCTGGATGGCGTTCAAAACATAGCAATAATCATCAGACATCTCATCAAACTTGTCGCCAACCGGCATCTTGTCAATATTGAGAAAGTCCAAATTCCGGTGGATGTTTAGGGTCTCCCATGTTATCGTGTCAATAGCCTGCTGCACTTTCGCTGAAATTTTTTCTTCAAATTTTGGAAGAGAAACAACATTTAGAGTTGTGCGGATCGATCAACCATCTTGAGAAATCGCAAAGCGGAACTTTAACTTTCAGTCCTCGACATTATTCTCAACATGAGCAAAATGGAAATGACCCGACAATAAAAATTGCCCATACCCACTTGGGCATAATCGAAAGGAAAATAAATACCCATATAGCTCGACTGACCATGCAATCTTCCTCCGATGAATGAAAATCATGAATGTCATTATAGCGACAATCGAGTTGTGCATCATATGAGCGTTGATGACACCATAATACATCAAAACAACGCATTATTCCTTGCACAATGACAATCCAAATCTGAGGTGGAACTCATTCCGACACACCACCTTCTCATTCTCCTCTGACTGCCTCCATCATTCGGTCGTCCCACATGACCCGTGGGCGAGTCACTCCTCTTCTTTACTGTCAATTTTTTCTTACAACCACCCTCGAGATGTCAATAGCCTTTTATCCTTGACAAAAAGATTGAAGCAAAATCATACTCTTAATGGGAACTTGAGTTTAGGGAACTTGTCCATGGTAAGACGTGTCTCTAAAAGGCAACTAAAGGATGGAGCAAGGAAAAAGAGTAAGCAGAATTGAAAAGAAACTACCATCTATTTATAAGTAATAAAGTGCACATAAATTAAGAAAGTATCAACTATTAGTATTTAGTTAAATAAAAAAGAAAGTAACCACTATTGCATTTTATTCTCTCCCTCTTATGGCAACTTACAATCTTCTATGAATGAGAGAATGAGAGAACTAAAATATGTATGAGCATATTACATTGAACTAGATCTTGAGAGAATGAGAGAAAATATGTATGAGCATATTACATTGAACTAGATCCAATGGTCTTGAACGGGACAAACTGCAAAAAATTAACCCCGACGAGCACAAAAAACTCCCAGCCAACACCAAACAAATCGCCTGATCAACCGAGTGGAGCAGGCTGGCCGAATAAGCGAACGAAAAACTGTCCAAAATAATAGTGGGCAAAACGATGCTCCGATCAGGAAGGATTCGACAAAAGAAACAACCTTGATGGTTATGGTGACCAATTGATAGTAAAGAATTTCAATGACATTATTGATAATTCATAATATAACTTTTATTTGGTATAATATAAGAACAGTAATGTGTAAAAAAAACATTTTCCCTCAAAAAAAGGCACAAATGGAGTACTGGATTTTGGTGCTCCTAAGACTTCAATATTTCCCGACTTTTTCCATCTCTCATATTTTATTTTGTTGGGTGTGATTCACGAACAGATTCGTGTTGAACATATGTTGAATTACTCTTGTAAGAACAAATTCTTCTAGCAACCTTTTTATATATTTTTAATATTTATGGTCCAATTGCAAAATGACCCCCACCAATAAAGAGGTTTTAAATAAAACTATAATTATTATTTTAAAGCATTTTGGCAATAAAATTAAATCGAATAAATTAAAAAAAAAAAAAAATAATTCAACACAAATTAATTTAATTCAAATTATTTACTTGGTTTTTAAATACTAATCCATCAAAGTAGAAAAAAAACATAAAAAATTAATTTAAAGCCGGCTTTTTTTTATTCTCTCACGCAAGTGGCTTTTAAAAAGACACAAGTACATTAGTCTTTTAATTTATGAAAGATTTACATATATACCTCCCAATTTCTATGTATTAACACATCTATCGGAAACATATATACTACTCAATCCCAATCAAAATATTAAGTTAATTTTTTATGTTTTTTTTTCTTTTTTTCTCTCTAAATTTATTTAGTAGTATTTTAAAATGAAGTAATTATTTAAATTATATAAAAATTAACGTAATAATTTAAATTTATTTAAATTTATTTAGAGTCGAATCATCATTTTAAAAAAAATTGGCTTATTTGTTTTAATTATTTTTTGCCAACTTTCTTTCTTTAAAATAATAATAATAATTTTATTTCAAACCTCTTTAATGGCGGTTTCATTTTGCAATTGGATCACAAATATATATTGATATGCATGTAATTTTTTCATATGTAAAATATTAAAAAAAATCATTAAAAAAACATAGGGTTTAGGGTTTAGGGTTTAAGGTTTAGGGACTGTTCCGACAAACGAAATACACACGTACGTAATTACGTAATTTATATTTATAAAATACAGGTTTTTTAAAATTTTCCTTTATATCAAAGATTGCATAAGAATTGTGTGGTACATTTGTAAATTTCCCACATTTATGATAAAAAAAAAACATAAACTAATCAAGATTTATTGATATACCTCTCATGACTTTCCTAAATGCACTCTTCCCTATATCTCTGTCTTTATAAATAGAAAGCTTTCATACGTACCACTCAATTCATATATATTTACATATCTTATACTTTTAAGTGCCATCTTACCATGCATGAAAATGTCTATTTCATTTTTTTAGAAGTTAAAATGATGACATTTTTAATGTAATAGGAAAGATTTGGGTGGTATTAATGTAAAGAAAATAAGGCTTATATTTCAGTTATGTAAATGCCTAAGATTTGGATTTATGCATGTAAATGTCTATTGTATATATCAATATATTCTCTTTTTTAAACGTCATATAGCTGCTTAGATGTCAATGCCATCTTACCAAAATGCTTGTAATTGATGAAACTCTTAACGAAGAACTGAATTTAAATGTGTAATAAAAATGTGAAACTCTACCAAAATGCTTGTAATTGATGACGAAAAACTGAATTTAAATGTGTAATAAAAATGTGAAACTCACAATTTATGATATATGTATATATTTATTTATTTATTTATAGGAATCATATAGGGCAGAACTTACCACAATGATTGAGAAGGGAGATAAGGCTGAAATTGAGGTATTATATTTCCATGGATTCAACTTCCTATGCCATTACATTGCAACAAAGATAGTGAAGTCCGATTATATCTGAAAAATGTGATAAATATCATGGCATCAAACTCTACCTATGGCTCATATTTGGTAAGTTGGTTTAGTATAGTTTTTCGTTTCATGAAAGATTTTACAATAATAGCCATTGCTTGACATTTAACTTTCTAAGACAAGAGTAGGAGTGCAACTGGGCCAAGGCGGTCCATGAGCCGGCTCGAGCTCAAGCTAATTCTGACTCAACTCATTATCTTGTGAGCTGCTTCATTTTAAAAAAATATATATATATACTCAAAATATATTAAATTTTGAGATCTTTTTCTTTAAAATTTTTTAAAAAGATTAAAAAATAACATTTTAAAGTTTATATCAAGAAATCTTTTCTTATTTATATCCTATTTTGTTCATTCTATTTCATTTTATTATAAAACTAGCTTTTTTGTTTATACAATTTTCTCTTTTATAATAAATAAGTTGGTTCGAAGTTGTTGATTCGAGCCTAAGCTTGTACTTAAACTTAATTAGTTAATCAAGTAAGCTCAAGCTAAGAGTGGTGTATTCTTTTGCTCAAATGCCTCTTTATTATCTTTTGAATGGACTTTGCATCTCTTTATAAACATTAAAAATTTCTTATGACTATAATATTATTAATGATACTCAAACTTCTTTGGGGTATTTGTAATCTATTTTTTTTAGATTTAATTTTATTTATATTTTAAATTGAAATATAACGTATTTGTTTTAGTAAAATAAAAGGGCAAATAAATAGACCACCTGAAAATTGATATTTACAAATTAACCACTCGTTTATCATGAATGGTTAATTTGTATGATACCAATCAATTCATATATGTTTACATTTTTATCAAATTTTCAATAGTTTGATTGTTTTTTATCATAAATATATCTAGCTTGCAATTCAAAAAAATTACTTGAATAGTTGATTTGTGACACGCATAAATATATCTGGCCTGCAATTCAAAAAAATTACTTGAATAGTTGATTTGTATCATTGTTTTGAGTGTTTATCATTATTTTGAGTGTTCTGTATGTAATTATCTCTAAAATAAATTAAATTATTTTTAAAATACACTTTAAAAATACACAAAAAGATAATAAAAATCTTATATTCTAATAAAATATGTAAAAAAATTCACAAAACAAATAAATTTTAAAAAATAAAAAATATAGATGTATATAAAATAACTAAAGATATTATATTGTCAAAATATAATCATATAATTATATAAAAGAGCAATCAGATACATACCACAATTCTTATGTATTTAAATTTCCAATACCTAAAAAGCATGAGATTTAAATTTTTAGGAACACAAAAAAAAAAAAAATCATTTTTATTAATTTTTAGGAGTGAAATACATTTTTTGTTTATAACATCAAAATCCTTATAAATATAAAAAATTTGCTTTTGGATGTGTAAATAAGCGAAAATTGTGGTATTTATGTGAAATTCTCTTTTAAAAAGAGTGCCGACAGACCACACAATTTTTATGTATTTACATATTAACACCCAAATATTAATATTTACATATGTAACACCTCAATGTAATGATTGAAGTATTTTTTATGTAATGTTAAAAATTTGAGTGATAAGCATATAAATATGAATCTTTAGATATGTAAATGCATAAGAATTGTGTGGTATGCATGTAAATGCCCCCCAAAAAAATGTCATTAACAGCATAAATTTGCCGCTCAGAAAGCAGCAGGGAATAGGCCAGTAAACGAGCGAGCTTAAGCGAGCTCAGGCTTGGCTCGTGTACGGCTCATTTGAAATAACTTGTGTTTGAAATTGACTCGTGTTCGAAATTGGCTAGTGAACAGTGTATTCGTGTTCGGCTTGATTTAATATTTGGATTCGTGTTTGGCTCGAAATTGGCTCTGAAAAATTAAATTGAAAAAAATAGATATAAAATGTGGGATTCGAACCCGAACCAAATGCATACAAAAAAAAGGCACTAACCACATTACCACACGAGATGTTATAATTTAAACTTATATATAAATATATATAATATATTATTATATAAATAATATATGTAATATATTATTATATTAATAATTATAATTATTTAATTTCGAGCTAAAGCGAGCCGAACATGAGCGAACAGCGAACACATAGCTGTTCGTGTTCGGCTCGTTTATAATTCGAGCTTTAAATACTTGTTTATGCTCAGCTTGTTTCCTTAACGAACGAGCTGAACACGAGCTACTTAACAAGCCGAACAACAATGAGCTTTTTCGACAATCATAAACAAGTATTCTCATAAATAAAAGTTCTGAAGCAAAACATAAAACTATTAAATAAAAGAATAAAGTTCCATATTCTCATAAATACAGTTCCGGAAGAACCTCAAGATAGAATTGCATTCATAAGAAAAAGATAAATAAGCAGTCAAAATTAGGAGCAGGTCATGAAAAACAGATTAATTTGCAGATCTTAAAAAAATAAATTAAGGATTATATATAGCCAAAAAGAATAGTTCGAAAGCTTACTCTTCTAATGTCGTCCAAATGAAGAGAGAATGCCTCCTGAAGTTTTTTCCTTTCTGTTCTCATCATCTCTGGTCTGTTTAAGAAATCATCATCAGAAATAATTGCAGCGAGTAAATGTAATGATATTTACATACAAACTAACCAATTCCTATGTATTTGCTCAAGTAACATCTAAATTTTGTTTTTTTTTTTTTTTTATATTCATACCAGCGAAATCTTTCATTTTACATCAACAAAATTCCACAATTTTAACTTTTGGAAAGAGGTGGTGGTATGAAAAAATTGGAGGGGTTGGATGGGTAATTATGTAGGAGTTGAGTGGTATGCATGTAAAAATTTAGTTTTTGAATTTATTTGTATTATCTAATAGTTTAATGGTATTAGAGGGAGGATCCCTCATGTGTCAAGTGTCATAAAATGACCCAAATCTATCAACTCATCCAAACAAAACATGTATGACAGTGGGTCCCACTTTTATTAATTTAAGGAAAACCAATTAAGAGGGAAGGTTGTGATCGGAGAGCGTACGCCGCCGTATGTAATAATTTTCCGACTGACTCAAATAATCCAAATTTGGGTTGATTTGATTAACCGGATTTGACACCATGCATAAAATTAAGAAGGTAAATTTAGATAAATACCACACAATTATTATACATTTACATATCTAACACTCAAAACTTTAATATTTACACCTACAACACCTTGGTAACATAAACCTGTGCATGAAAAAGTATATTTCACTTTTAAAAAGGGACCGAATGTGATATTTTTCATGCGATGCTAATGATTTTAGTGGCACGCAAGTAAAGATGAATGTTTAGGTGTCAGATATGTAAATATAAAACAATTCCGTGGTATGTATGTAAATAACCCAATTAAGAAACTCTAGCAAAATTAATTCATCATGGTATAAAATTGTATCATGATTTATTTATTTATTTATTTATTGGGTGGGAAATAGATGCTGAACCTCTTTGGTAATTAGATGAAGCATGTCCAGAATCTCAGAGAAGTGCGGTCTATGTAGAGGGTCCTGCTGCCAGCACATTTGGAGAAGTTGAGCAAGCCTTGGATTCGTATGCTTCGGAATTGTCGGTCTCAAGCCCTGCAGACAGAATTCTTATGTATTTACATATCTGACACCTAAAATTTCATATTTACATGTATACCACTGAATCTTTAAAATCACCTCAAAGATGCCATTATTACTAATTTTTCATAAATAGGTTTAAGACAACCTAAGTGTTATAAACGTAAATATGAAAGTTAAGGAGTGAGATGTTCAAATACATAAGAATTATGTGGTATGTATGTAAATATCCATAAAATCATAGCAAATAATGGTTATAGGAATATTCGTCATGCATAAATAAGGTGATATATATATGTAAAAAATTGAAGTTTAGGTGTTAGATATGTAAATACATAGGAATTGAGTGGTATGTATGCAAACCTTCCTATTTTTAAAGCATTTTCACATGTGATGCATGCAGGAATTCTAATGTATTTACATAACTAACATCTAAACTTTACTTTTTACATTTATACCATCCAAGGCTTTCATATCTCAAAAACAATATCACTATTCAAACTTTTAAACAGAAAAATACACATTTTTATGCATTAGATAAGGTGGCATATACGTAAAAATTGAAGTTTAGGTGTTAAATATGGAAATATTCCTATTTTTTTAATACATTTTCACATTTGACACAAAGAGAAGAAGATTGTGGATCAAAACCACATCTTTCTAAGGAATATATTATAGAGATTTCGTTGACAATGCATTAACTTAGCAAAATATAAATACATTTTATAGAGGACAGATACTCTAAACCGAAAGATAGATGGGAAGAGAAATAGACCTTTTGAACCACACCAACCGCTGCTTGTAAAGGCGTTAGGTACTCGTAAGGAAGCTGAGGAGGGGGAAGCCGAAAAAATAAATTAAAATTTCAAGGTTTTAATGGCAACCACAAATGGTGAAGGGATTACCTTCCCCGTTAATAGCTCCCACAGCACGATTCCAAAACTGAAGACATCAACCTTTTGATCATATGGCTTGTGCTCTATGACCTAATGTCAAATAAATAAATAATTAAATAAAAAATTATATTATAATAATCAAATAATAATAATAATAATAATAATAATAATAATAATAATAATAATAATAATAATAATAATAATAATAATAATAATAATAATAATAAACCTGTTAGAAATAAAATGAATGCAGCTATTATTTTTTGGGGGCATTTACATAGATACTGAATTCCTATGTATTTACATATCTAGCACCTAAACTCTAATTTTAACAATTATGCCACCCAAATCTTACATATCATATAAAGAATATCACTATTTTAAATTTTTAGGTGAAATACAAGTTTGCATGCTTACGTTGTAACGATCCGGCTCGAGGCTTAGAATTAACCAAGGTGAGTACAAACGCTCGTACAGTGGAAATTAAGATTTCTATGTTCATTTTTTATAAATAGCTATTTAACAAATGGAAGAGCCAATAAATAAATCCCAATAAATAAATTAAATAAAAGTAGTATAATTAAATTTCTTCTCATTATTGATTGTCTGGGTCTTCTACAAATATTTCCTATTATATCGTTCATCTTTTAATCAATTAAATTAACATAAAAAATTAATTTAACATAACAGTAAGCTAAACAAAACAGTGAATACTTATACTCCTAAACAATAGTAATAGAAGAGAAAATAATACAATATGTATATCAGTTAAACTTTTAATAAATTAATAAAAACATTTGATATTTTAAGATTGAGGTTATTCAATGAATTTTACTATAACAATATTATATCGATATCATATTTGTACGATCGTCAAATGAGCATTTTCTAAAAGTTGTACCAATTAAAGTATTTCAATATCAACATCATTTTTCATTAACATGCACAGGTACCTTAGCGTTCCCCCGCTATTACCATAAAAAGGTGACTCCATCATAGTTAATCATGTACAAATAAACAATCAGTATAGACATATCAATCATGTTCTCATCTTAAGTAAGGGTACTCGTCTCGATGATGATCAATTTGTTCTTGAATTTGTCTTGATCACGATTCTTCTAAAATTGATACCTATAATAAATCCCACTTGAGCTTTCGACATTGACGCCTCCTTCCTCCTCTTCCCTCTAACCGCACGCATGAGAGCTTCCGCCTCTTCTTTTTTTTTTTCTCTGCACAACAGCAATGTCGCCCTCACCCACGTGGGAACTCCTAGGTCTTCTTTGTGTTTAGCTACACAGACTCGAGTTTAGTTACTCATCTCTACCCAAGTCGCTCTATCACCCTCCTTCGAATGGGTAATTCTTCCTTAAGATGTAGAACTTACCTGGTTTCCTCATACGCATCGTTTTATAGAACGTAAGTGAACTTTGAGTTCCTATTCCTGATTGTTCAATTCCCAGCCCTCCTTCAAATCCTCGCTTCCTCTCCCCCTCTATTAGACTCTTCATTTCCTCTTCCTCACTTCGACTCTTCGTTTCTCTCCTGCAAGTAATTGAAACGAGACTTCAAAATTCCCCACTCACAAAAAATTTATTGTAGAATTATAAAACGGACCGTAAGTCACATCTCATTAAGCAGGTCAACATTAGCTATCCATGAATTTTATGATAAAAACTAGGGGTGTCATTCATTAAGATGAATAGTAATCATGGTAAGGTAAAGGCTCGTTGACAACACAAAATTACTGAATCAAGAATGTATGCAAGGAAAATACCCTTATATTTAAGAAAATGCCAAACTCATCAGACCTCATCACCATCGGCAATTGGTTCTTCAGGCACACTATGAGTAAAGGAATAACCCAAGGTCAAACAGGTTGTCTTGGTTGAAATTGGGTAGGAGCTGAAGCTATACTCTATCTTTTTTTGTCCACTTGCAGACTTCTGTGAAGGAGCTCCGTCTATTTTCTAATCTTCAGTGCTCATCTAGCCAAACGATGAACAAAATTTTGCTATATGACCAAGCTGATGACATCAGTAGCATGTATTATAGCCTAACAAGCATTCACCTTTATGTTGTCTTCGCATTTGACACAATTGACTTCATTGCTCTGAGTAATATCTCTGCTAAATCCCACCTGAATTGTTCTTGAACTTCTTCCCATTGGATCCCTCTTGACCCGCATGTTCTAGTTCATCAATACTCTTCTTCTTGTGTGACTCCTCGATTTCCACCTTTCTAGCTCGTTTCACTAATATTGAATATTTATCAATCCCCAAAGATACCAACGACTGTCTAATCTAATCCTTTAATCCCGAGGAATCTATAGTACTTTTCTTTTACGGTGGCGATCAAGTGTGCTGCTTACCTTGACAGTGTAGTTAATTCTGTTTTGTACTGCATGACTGTCTTCTCTCCCTACACCAACTTGAT